AATAGCGTTCCTAGTGACAGTTAAGTTCTTACATATTTGTTAAGCAGACATCTTAGCAGAGGAGAGAGATTCTGTAAATACCTCCTTTGAACTGGTGAGTTCAGGTCTAAGCTCGTTGAGCTCCAGAGAATTCATTGAGGAAATGGCCCTTGTAAATACCAGGAAAGACGTCTTTACCATACTCAGTCAACCACAACAGACAATCTGCGGGAAATCAGACCTTGTTAGCTCTGGTGCTCCCAATTTAAGAGGGACTGAAAATTATCTGGCTGAAAATAATCACCACTAGGTCTGATTGAAAGGTGAGGGGTGCTTTAGGCTGGGAATGGCCTTCACCACTCAGGGCAGTTTAAATTGTCACACTGGTATTTCATTTTCCATCTCTCCCTCCGCAGATTTGCAGTATGCATGAATAAATTAGAAAGTGGGAGAGGTGTATTCACTTCCTGTGGTACTTCATCTTCCTCCTCTGTAAAACAGGGGAAAAAAAAATTAAGTGGTATTAAAATGATGGGAAAAAATGTTGCTACTTGAAGGGTTCAAAGACACTGCATGAAGAAACAGGTCACACGTAGGGTAGAAAGAAAAGAATCACAGGCATGCCCCTTATTTGAAACTGGTTTAGGAACAAAAGCATCAGGTGTCCTTTGAATGCAGAAATCAGTGACAAAACCAGGCAGTTTGTAGCTGTGTTTTTGTATTTATGGTATGTTAACTAATTGTGTAGCTGTGAGTATGTATATGTAAAATACAAAGAGTGAAAACATTCTTAGATTCATGATTATAGATAATGAGCGTATTCCACTGAAGTATTTTCTATAACTCACTATTCATTTGTACAAACATATCCATGATGCCTATTAATCACTTATGAAGTCTTTCATAAATCCAACATTACTGTAGTGTGTCATCCCCTTTTCTTTTCTACACTGGTTGTCTTTTTATTTAGTTCTTAAGGTACCCGTGAGAAGTTATGCTTTATTTTTGCCTATTTCCTACTCCAATTCTTAACATTCAAAGCAAAAAATTAGAAATGCAGCTAAACAATTGGGTCATATTGCTAAACATCAAATATTAATAAATAAAATTTCCAGTTATTAAAGTTTATATTAATAACTTGAGAATGTCCATTTGCTCCTGACTTGTCTTGGCATCCATTGCTCTGAAATCTGATGGCTCTATTGCTGTGTGTCTCACTTAATGCTCCTGATCCTGCTCTTCCCAAGGTTCCAGCACTTCTTTGCTTCTGTAATTCTTTGGACTTCCTCCAGCTGTTTAGAGGATCTTTGCTCTTTTCTTTTTTTAATTGTGGATTTCACAGATATTTCCCTGGATTTCTCCTTTTTCCCATCTGTTCTCACCTCTTTTTTTTTTCTGATCATATCATTAGATCTGCCTGTCAGCCACTTTCCATGTCAATTTAGAATCTTAGGACTTTATGGCAAATTTTGTACTCTTATGGATGTTTCCATCTTTAAACTACTATGATGCGAGGGCTGAAGAAATCTTTCTTTAAATCCATCTTTGTTACTCATCCTCAACTCACAAATCCACACTTTTCTGTTTTTCAGTGGAACTTTTTTAATTTTGTTTCTTTACTTGCCTTCAGCCATTGGGTTGTGCCAATTTTGTCATCCATTTCCTGTAAGATCTGTCCTTGCTTTCTCTCCCACTTCCAAGTGTTTGTTGTGTCTCATGTGCATTACTGCACTTACCTTCATTCTACTAATAAATGGAACCTTTAGAGTAATTTGTATTACATTGGTAATGACACTTGAGACTGGTAGAAGTATTCAGCAGAGTTTCAGACAGTTTTTGATAATACTTTTTAGTAGTCCTTTCATAACACATGCATTCACCAATCCAGAAAAGAAACTGGCTCTTCTGAACACTTTTTTTCTTGATTCCTGTTCATTGGTCTTCCTTTATTTTTCCTGTAGAATTACTGCTAGTGTGGAAAAGTACTTTCTGAGGAGATAGTATATACAGCTCTCTTTATGGTGGAGATTTAGGTGACCAGAAATAGTTACCTAAGCTGTCTCTGGGCAGTCTGGTGGGTGGGCAACCCAGTCACGAGATTCTGGCTTGGTGAATGTGTGAATTGTGAGATCGGTGATTTTACAGGTCACACAAACTTGCCCTGTTATCCTGCTCAGAATTACCATCCAGTGCTCAGTGTTGTTTAAGTTTGTGCAGTTATTTATAGCAATTAATTCAGCATGCAGTTTCTCAAATGAGGGCCTGAATCAGTAAATACATCAAGAAGCATGAATAAGCAGAGAATGTCTTTAAGTTGTGGTTGCTTTTATGATACAGTATTAAAGCAGTGACTTGCATAGATTGATAACTGTGCTGTGCTATGACTTTTCTTTCATAAATGCTTTCCTGAGCAAAGCTTTGCCTGGCTACGGTCTTAGCGGTGTTCTTTTTTCTTTATGTTGCTAATGTTGTTTTACAGATCATTAAGAATAATTGGTGTTGTAATCATGGCCAGTAGTCGCTGCTCAGTAAAAAAACATAGACTAAAGGAAACCTATCTGCATTAAAGTTTTATAAAATATTGTCCTTACATAAGGTGGTTTTAAACTATGGAGTCAATGAATGCTTAGCCCTTTAAACAACTTCAGCACTCTGTTTCCTGGTTGCGCTTAAACTTAGAACGTTAACTTGCTTTTGGACTGAAATCTTCCAGGACTAGCTTCTGGGCATAGGTGAATATCTTAGCAATTTTTTGAATCAGACATTGAGACAGGGATTTGATTTTATGAAGAATACACCCCTAACGGTTTTCTTGTTTGTTTGCTTTTAAACAAAGCTGTGGCTTAAGCACTTGGGGAATTAAGTTTGGAACATCCCAAGTTGAAAGAAATAGTAATAAATGTGATTTTGATTTAATGAATTTTTGAGGTTGCTATTTTTTCCAGTGTTTATGCCACAGTACAAATCCTATCTGCACTAGCATTCCACATCTGCAAGCAGAAACGTGCATACGTGGTTTATTTCAGTTTTATGCATATCAGCAGGCTGAAATGATTGGTTTGCATCAGTAGAGCACTTCTGCCCTTAAGGTTTGCATTAGTGCAGCAATACCCATGTTGAAATTATATATGTCTGTATGAACAAAGGAGGCCTCAGCTGCAAGTATGTGGAAGATACACGCTATGAATGTGCACTTTATACACACTGCCCAGTTAACTTCATGATGTAGTTACAGCTAAGATGTGTAGTTCTGGGGCAAGCACCCATATCCATCTTTTCAGCAAGTTACTTTGAACATTGGGGATTTGATTTGAGGTTTTATGTACTTTATCTTTTCTCTTTTTTTTTAACGGAGACACCAACAGAGTTGTGTGGATTCATTTTGTTTAAGGTGTAGCACTCCTCCACAACTGAACAGGGAAGTTATGAGTGCAGTTAGCATTTTTGTGATGTTATTGTTGCCACCTACAGCTTTTTATTAGTAACATGCAGTTGTTCTGCTCTGTTATGTAAGGCACACAGGTTTTTTTCTTTCTTGCCATTTGCACATACCTAAAAATTCTGTTATTTTGACAGTAAGTCCTCAGGCAACCTGACCTTCAGTTTTCATACAAGTGAGGGAGAGGCAGGAGTACTCTTCAAAGAAGAAGAGGCAGACTGTAGGGGATCTTAGGAGGCATAGGATACTGCTTTGGTGACTGGAGGGAGTTCCAGCTTGAACTCTTTCACTGGTGCGGTAGATTGAAGGGATCTGTATGTGTTGTGCAGAGGACATGCTGACTGCCTCTTCTTCAGGCAGAGATTGCTAAAGCACTGACCGTGCGCTTGGTGAGCCTACAGCTGAAGAAGGCGTAAGCTTTAATGCAACTTTAATTTTGGTATTTTTTTACCAAGGAATTTCAGCTTGCTTAATCACTTCTTTGTACAAATGCATTGCATTTAGTATAAAATCCCACCTTGTTCCAGAGAACAGGAATCAGAGTTGCATTTCGTGCTGCAGGGGGATGTCAAATGGACTCAAGTTTTGTGTCACTGGACTTATGGTAACATTTCATCAGTTCTGTTTTGCAGATGGACTGTTCCAACAAAATTGGCATAGAAACTTGCATATTAAAGTAAACATTCTATATTCAGGGAAGGTTCCTTTTCAGATGGTTTCCTCCCCCTTCTCTTGTCTCACACTCTTTGTTTGAGATTCTCTGGGAAAAATGAGATCTGTCACTTCACCTTGTGGCGTAATTGTTGTGTTAAGCAGACCATTTATTCTTTGTTAAGAATTATTCCAAGGTAAACACTATAATCTTCAGCTTGGCTATAGTTTGGCTCCTACAGAGTTTTTTTTGTTTTTTTTTTTACTCTGTAGTCCTGAAAATCTTTGGACATCAGTATCTGGTGTGTTATGAGCACTGTGCAGTATTTGCAGTGTATATTTACAGAGAGCTTCTGCAGACTGGTGTTTTGGGCACTTCACTGGCATTTTCTTGTCTATACGTTACTCACTATATGGTGGCTTTACTTAACTGTAGTTTTGAAAGCATGATTAACTTTTTAATTTCTTTGACCTTTCAGTTTGACAAAGTCTTCCTGTGAAATGTATTGAAGTGCAGAGTTCTTTCAACACTGGAGCTTTCCATTAACAGCAGAATCTTCATTTGATTTGTTTAGGCATCGTAATCTTAAACTGAAGCATTAGCTTTACCCCAGAGAGAGTACTTTCCATACCTATAGTACAACTGTACTGAAGGCATTATATAAAACATGCTGAAACTTTGAGTAATTACCTTACAGTATTACATTTGCACATTTCGACATTGCAAACAGTTAAAAAAAGCTAGACAACAATGGAATTTTAAGACAACCTCCATTCGTCTGCTCTCCATGTGAAAGCTTCAGGGCCACCGTGGGACAAAATACACCTATGCTCAAGCCAGAAGCAACTAGGCATGGCTAGACAATGAGAAAATCTCCAAACTATTTAAACAAAAAGAGTGGAAAAAACAGAGTGTTTTGTTTTATTGTAGGTTCGGGAACTGCAAACACGTTTGCAAAGTGTGCAGGCAACAGGCCAGTCCAGCCCAAGTCGTCTCACTTCTGCCAACCGACCCATTAACCCCAGCACGGGAGAGCTGAGCACAAGCAGCAGTAGCAATGACATTCCCATAGCCAAGGTGAGTTGTTGTGTGTTGCAGTAATGCTTCTTATTACCTGGGAGAAGCAGGCTTCATTCTGCACAGCTGTTGTGCAAGCACAGGATTAACTGGGAGATAACTGGAATCCCCAGAGAGTTTTCTGAGGTCCGAAGCAGGCTGGTGAACTGGAGCTGCAGAAAGGAATTAAGCGCTAATGATTGTAATTCTCTTGATTAGAACTCAGGTGTCAATTTTACAGTAGCGCACTTCACGTTTGCAAGGGTAGCTAGTGAACAAATGCATTTTCTGTAATCTTTATGGAGTGCGGGTTCCTGTGTAACCTGTGCAGCATTCCGACTTGCAGATTGCTGAAAGAGTGAAGTTGTCAAAGACGAGATCAGAGTCTTCATCATCTGATAGACCTGTCTTAGGATCAGAAATCAGCAGCATAGGGGTAAGGAATAATAATTATGTGCATGCATGATACCTTCTGAAGATGACCAGTGTTCCATTAAAAGCAGCATTGTTTTCTTACTAAATTAATATATGAGCTAACTGAAAATACTTAAAGAGTTATTTTGAGAAAAATATTTCAACAGAGAATATTTCGCCCAGTATTAAGATCTCATTTTCTCATAACTGGGGGTTAGAAATCATTCTTTGAGTCCCTTCAAGAGGATAATTTTTGAGCCAATTCCTCCAAAATGTTATTCTTCAAGAAAAGATTATTCAGTTGCATTTCACAACTTCCAATCAACAAATAACTGGGTTCTGCTTTGTAGTGCCAATGTAAGTCCATAATGCTGCTGTTACTGGGTGTTAGTATTTGTTTCACTGAAGAACTTACCTCTGACCTTTCACTAAGCTTTCGAGAAACCAAATGACTTACACACTAGGCTTTTTAAATGCATGATGAAATAGTGGGCTTCACCCTTTGGTGAATTTTAAATCAAATCAAAATAGCTTCTTAAAGTGGAAACATTTAGATGTTCTATTCAATGTAAAATTCATAGCAAAAGCTGAATAATGAATGCCTTGAAGTGAGTTCGTGCAAGCAAATGCAGCTCTCAATGCAGACTGCCTGTGGGAGGAATCCAGTGGTTATCTATTCACAATAATCTATTAACTGCCCTCTGCAGGTGTCTAGTACTGTGGCTGAACATTTGGCACATTCCCTCCAAGACTGCTCAAACATCCAGGAAATCTTCCAGACTCTTTATTCACATGGGTCTGCTATCTCTGAAAGTAAAATCCGAGAGTTTGAAGTAGAGACTGAGAGGTTAAATAGGTAAGGTAATATGCTCAAGTGTGTTGTCTGCTATTAACTTTGTTAAAGTTACTACTTTTTTATTCTTTTTAAATATTTCTTAGTTCTGTCCCAGCTCAACTGTGACAGCTGCAAAAAAACGTGGAATGTGGTTGATGAAGAAAAGATGGAATTGTACACTAAGGATTGCTTCTGTTAATGTGACAGTTTGGTCATGCATTATTAGATCAGCACAGCACCTTCACCTGTGACCGTTTGCACTGTAGAGTGTGCTTCTCTATGGCTGACCAAGTAGACATGGCATCTTTTTCATAAGACACGTCACTGCTAGAGATAAGGATTCCCATAACTTGCTCTCCATCATTATGGAATTAGCTTGCTTTCTTTTGTCGTGACGAAACAGCATTATAGCATTAACTGTATCAATGAATGTACTGATGTATGGCGGTGTGGCATATATACCAGTAAATAGAATTCTGTTTGCACAAGAAAGATTACAGCTTACAGTTAAAATACTGCTGGTGTTATCCTTCAACAAGCTCTATCAAAACTAATGCTTCATGTCATCTTTGCACATAAAATTAAAAATGCGGATCAGGAACATGAGAATTGTGTCTCAGCATGTTTCCTTCCAAGTGCTCTCTTCCCCACGGCTATCTCAAACTTAGTCTGATCAGTACAATATCTCTTTTATTTGCAGCTCATGTTTTTGTAGTGCTGCAAAATGTGAGCCTGTTTTTTTCTTTTTTTCTGTGCACTGCGTAATTATGCTTTGACAGCATGTATCCATGAGGATATCAAGGATATCATGAGGTGTCAAAGAAGATGTGGGAGGTGAAGCATCTGAGAGTTCTAGCAGCTGGGGAAGCCAGGGCTTTACTCTGATTGTTGAATAAATGGTGTACTAGCCCTTGTTCTTCTTGTGTTTGTTAACAAGTCGGTAATTTTAGAGTTTTGGATGGCATTGATTTCTTCATGAGCTACCTGTCCAAATTTTGAAATAATTTCCCTGCCTGCTTTTGGTGTATGTCCAGCTCTTACGATTAGGCGTAGTACATTGATGCATAGTGCAGTTGTCAGCAGCGAGAATAAACAGTAATACTGATACCCTGAAGCCTCATTTTCAGATTCAGAGTTAACCTCGTTGAGAAGAATATTACAGTTAAGTTCTGATACAAGCTGCTGTTTGACTCTTGCCAGAAGTTTTGGAGATTTCATTGCCTCACTGAAACTTCATTCATATTTTGGAAGTTACCTCTCTAATCACAACTAAGATATTGCTTCAAGTGAAACGGTTGTTCTGGATGTTCCAAAGAAAGGGGGCGTTTATGCAGCTGCATGACGCCTACACGCACCCACACAGTGCACTAATGAATATGCCACTTAAAACAAGAAACAAACATGCCAGCAGAAAGTGAGGAACGGAGGCAGAAAAATTAAGTGAAAGGTTAATATGAAACTGTCCTGCGCAGTCTTGTGGCTGCGAAATAAGGGTACAGCTTTCTGCTTGCTGCTGTTGCACAGGGTTATGATTGCATTTTATGGGAAGGAGAGGAGAAGGAGAAGAGGCTGTGCTAAGAGAAATTACTGTCCTCTTGGCTCTTGATATGGGGCATAGAACCGATAGATTTTGCCATTTTCCTTTAAAAACCTTGTGTAGACCAAATGGTATTTGTTGTTTTAAATGTTGATTGTTCTAGAGTTTTCAGGACAGTGTCTGCAAGCTAAGCTTGAAGGTTGCAAATTACTTCCTTTTCTACAGCCGTATCGAGCACTTGAAATCGCAGAACGACTTGTTGACGATAACACTGGAAGAGTGCAAGAGCAACGCGGAGAGGATGAGCATGCTTGTTGGGAAGTACGAGTCCAATGCCACAGCCCTCAGGCTTGCATTGCAGTACAGGTATGTACCTACACAGAACGTGTCTCAGAAACAAGAAGAGGGGGCAGGGGAGACTGGATAGAAGTCTGTGACTTTTTGTTTCCTCCCTGAAAAAATGCCCCTTTGGTTAAACTGTCACCGAAATTGGGAGTAAAACTCCTTAACACCAATGCAGCATTAAAAAGCAGCCATTCTTTATTACAGCACCGGATGCACGGGTGATCGCTCCTCCTAACGTGCATGCCATATGTTGCCTCACCCCAAGCTTATATCACCCTGTTACATGCATGTGCATTAAGTTTCCCAGAATGTTCATACACATTTATTGTTTCCTGGAACTAATTATCATATTTTCATAGTCATTATGCACGCGGCCAGGGTCTTTGGGGCTTCCATGGGGTCCTCAGCGATCTCTGGTGGTCCCTTGTGGCTGTAGAAGTGGTACTTCTTAGTGTCCTTTCCATGAATTCGGAGTCTTTCCTCCCATATATGGTCATGAGTTGGCTCACTGAGAAGTTTGTGGATTTCTCCGGATCTTGGTGTCTGCTGGTTTATCTACACTTTTTTAGGCTGTGCTTGTTACATGTCCTTTGGTGCATTCTTGCCTGAGCCCTCTGATTGTCAGTCCTTTGTTTTCTGCTAAATCTTTGTGAAATTCCCTATCGTTCTTATGCATCATGTACACCTCCTGTACAACATGTAGCCCCTCTATACATCACACCATGCACCCTGTTTTACAACAAAACTACTTCACAAACTACAGAACTGAAGTTACTGATACAAGTGCACTGCAATCCTAGTTCACCAGCAGTAGTGAACTCAATCTAATAGAAATATACAGATTTATCTTTTCATTTTTAAATACTGAATTAACATTTGAGTTAGGGATTGCGTATCAGCTTGAACTGTCTCTGCTGCATCCAAGCTTAAGATACAGGTTCTCTATATTAGGCTGGCACCTCTCACAAGACCAGTGGACCGAAGAGTAGCTTTGTACTTCACATAGTTCAGAGTGACTTTATAGTACATCAGTTGGAATTGTGGATGAATGGCTTGGTATTTGGTATCTAAATTTACTTTAAACTATGCATGAAAAGATGATGTAATTTAAACCCTTTAACTACAGCTAATCTGGAACAGGCGGTTGTGGTCTGAAGACAAATTGTGTGCCGTTTAAAGAATGTGTACTGTTACTATCAGCCTTGAGAAAATTACAAGGAAATGTAAATTGCAAATAGGTATATTAAAGTCTATATTTTCAAAAACATTAGAATATAACAGGAACAAGTGACTCACAACTGTATGTAGAAGCTGTTGTGTTGTGAGGAGGAAAGTCTTACAGCTAGGACAGAGCAAGAAGTACTTTTCTTATCTTTGCTTTTCTTCTTCCTATACTTTGCATGGTATAGTTAAATAGTAAAGTACAGAATACAGTATTTTGTGCAGTAAGAAGGCATGAAAAAAGTTGCTCAAAGGGATCATGTTGACCACCATTTGTATTGTTGACTGTTCCAGACATGCTTCTGGAGCTCGCTTCACATCAGGTCATTCTCTTCTGTTCTGCTTTGTTTCATTATTTGAGGCCAACCTGGGACCATCATAAGGAAGGAGACACTGTTGAATTCTGTGATAGAAGCTACATGTGTTATGTCGTTGAATAATCCTGCTGCTAGACAAGTAGTAGAGAGTCATGCAGTTTGTCAGCTACCTCTTTTTTTTGTTGCTTTTGCAGGTATTCTGCCCCTCTAAACTGCAGATACGTTTTGTGTGACTTTTGTTTTCTGTGGTTTGTCTTCTCTTTCAGTGAACAGTGCATAGAAGCATATGAGCTCCTGTTGGCATTGGCAGAAAGTGAGCAGAGTCTCATTCTTGGGCAGTTCAGAGCTGCAGGTGTTGGTTCTGTTGGTAAGATGTCAATGAATCACTTTTTTTTCTTTTTTTTTTGCATGTCAGTTAGCATTAGAGTTAGTTGGAACAGTGAGTCATCTCATGACCCATCACTAAAGAATGCTGCTCGGTCTTATCTTGTTTTTAACTAATTAAATCATTTTATACACCCAAAATATAGGGGACAAGAAAAAGAGAGACTGGAATTAAATCATGGAATTCACCAGCAATTTAAATTAACCTACGTATACTATCACAAGGGGATGCCTATTCTGGCAGTGGTGAGGCTGCTACAGGCATGCAACTGTACAGAGTGGAATTGTTAAACAATACTCATGAGCATATGTGGCTTAGGGCCGTACAGCTGTGGTAACTGCAAGTACAGATTTTGTTTGAACCAGCAACATTGACCCCCCCCCCCCCAGAAGTTGAGTATAGTCTATGAAAAACTGGGATTAAGACAATACAAAGGTAGCATTGAGTAGTTACCAAAAAACATTTTAAAATGGCTGTGTTTTTTCACTCCACATTTTACCTTTGCTCTGAAATTTTAAAACATTCTATCTTATCTTTTACTGTGTTGTTGGGGATATTATCATATATGTTCTGGGTTTTTCTTACATTGTGGATGGTTAATCTTGTGGGTAGGTGCTCTTATTTTTACTATGCTGCTCACTGAGTAATGGAATAACCCACTATCATAGGTACAGTTCAGAAGTGTTTGGAGCTTGATGTTGCTGCTGGCTCCACTTTTCTCATAGAAAGAGGCATTTACACAATGAACATACATTAATCTGAGTTTTATAGTCCTATGTTTTATAGTCCTGTTTCTTTTATTGATATGAGAAGGTAGCCCTAGTAATACTCAGGTAGAAAGAGGAGAAACCTTCAGAGAGAGAATAGCTCTTCATGCTGTGCTGAGACATAGTAACTGCCTGGCTGAGACAGTATTGCAGCACTAGCTTCTTGGGAATCACTGAAATGTGGACAGAAAGCTTTCAGAGGCAGAGTGACCATCTGGCTTTAGAGCCAAGGACTGACATGGTCCGCCTCTTGTTTCAGATGACTAGATGCTCTCAGCCCACAGTTACTATCCTGCAAACCATGCCCCTTATTTTGTTTCTCTCCCAGTGCTATGATCAGGCCCTTGTGTACCTGTCTTGGCATATGCAGTGTGTGCCGTATACTAAAAGTTAGAGTGGGTGCCTGAGATTTTCACCCACCTTTCTTCCAGACTCTGGTCATTCCTTTCCATGATGCACTAGGGAGCTTTGCTTGCTGGCAGAGGTCGGTGGCCAGCAGAAGTGAATTTAGTCTTGGATTTTCTGTTCACATAGGTGGCAGAAAGAAATCTTAGAAGGGAGAAGTACTTTGGGTTTAAGCAGGGTTTCACCTCACATGCATTTTATGAAAGAGAGTATAGTTTAGCTTTTATATAGGTGTCTATCTACAGCTCTTAATTATGGTATTAACAGTTACAGCCCAGTGATAGAAACAGTGCCAATTTCCCATTATATAACACAGCTTGGAGGAAGTTGTGTTTGGTTCACGCACCTTTACTTCACCATGAAATTTGATTAAAACACCTAGATAAATTAGCAGATATTTGGTTTGAAGACCACTAAAGTTTTATATCAACATCTGTGAGTGGAAAATTCATGGAAGTTGCTTCTGCATCACTTAGAGCTGAGCACATCCAGCTGCTCTTAACAGAACATTCTCCCTTCCTTTCTTCCACATTAATGTTATTTCTGGTGCATGCACTCGCTTAGCAAGTGTGAAGTATACGTAATTGCTCTTTGACGCGAATAAGGATGAAGTGAAAGCCTGACCTAGAGCAAACTGGTTTTTTTATCCTCTCTGACATCTTTGCATTGTGTTGGATAAAGTGTGAGTATATTGTAGCTTTGTTCAGACTTTCACTGTAGCCACTAATGTGTCTTACTTTAATGATTTGACTACAGCTGGTGTTAGGACTACAAGAATAGTGACAGTGGTCGTTTCTGTCCTGCCTCTGCTGAAGGATCGCTTACCAGCTGCATAGACGCTACATAACCACTAGAAGTTACAGCAAATTAATAAACACCAGTGCTAGTTTTCTTTTGGTTTAGTATGCATGACTGTAAACTTTGAAAGGCTGCTTCTAAGCAGTAAGGCAATTCTTCCAGCTGGAAAGGTAACCTGTAATAAGGTGTTCTGGCAAACCATTAGGCTTGAGGTAAAGGTGCTTGTGAGAAGAAGCACTGGAAATGACCACACTGAAACAGCACTGGACTGACTGGAGTAAGACTTGCGATTCAGGCTGAGATTTTTCCATTGTATTATTAATTTGAGCATCCTAAACTAATCGTAATGCACAGTGCACACCCTTACAAACAGGCAAGCTAGCTAAGGTAAAACATCACTTAAGATGTATACTTGGAGCAGCAAGTACCTGGAGCTTGTGGTTGGGAGGGAGAAGCATTCAGGCCAGTAGCCCAGTTATCACTGACGCTCACACAGAAGTGAAGTTGCTTTTACATCACAGATAGGTAATTTATTGTCATCATCTTGGTATAAACTAAGAGCGTGTTAAAGCATCTCTACTCTTGCCTTAATTTCTGTCACCCTTCTCAAAGCTCTGAAACAGATTGTTTGCTTGAAAACTAGGGGACCAGACAGGTGATGAAAACGTCACCCAGATGCTTAAGAGAGCTCATGACTGCAGGAAGACAGCTGAGAACGCAGCAAAAGCCTTGCTGATGAAACTAGACGGGAGCTGCGGGGGAGCCTATGCAATCACTGGCTGTAGCGTGCAGCCCTGGGAAAGCCTGTCATCCAACAGCCACACAAGGTAACTGCAACCCATCTGCTCTCCTGATCCCCAAGTGTTTGATTTCAGACCAAAAGGTATGTTGTATTTTATTTGCTGAACTATCTCACTCACCTCAGTCCACTGGATTTTTTCTTTGATTTAGAAGTCACCATGCCTCAGTGGTCTAATTGTCTTTAGACTCTGAGCAACTCCAGCCAGGAAGGGTTTTGTATAAATTTGGTGCAAATGGGTGACTCTGAACTTTGTTCTTCCTCATAAAGGGCAGAACCATTATGTTTGTTTTACTTCAGTGACTTTCTTGCGGTTTTACTCGAACTCAGATCATGTACTTCTCATTCATATCATCTGTTGTATGCAGACAGCACAGATATACCAAGAACCTGAGATCAGAAGTATGCTTCCTTCAGCATTTTGGAGTGCTCAGGAATTATTCTCAAAATGTTGCGAATCCAGCCATTTTGTTTTAAACCATTACCTTTCCCTTCTCATTCCCCTTTGCCCTGCTCCAAATTCTTCCTTCCCATGCTATTCTTTCACACGTGGAGTGGCAAATGATCATCATGACAGACGGAGTGAATTCTTCCAGGAAAGGCTGGATATTGCAGTTTCTCTGAAGACCTATAAAATAATGAAACTTAAACGAGCTGTTCTTGCAGAAGTGTTTCACTTCAGATACATCTGCTAGTAGCTTCATTTTGAGTCATTGCCTGCCTGCAGTGTAATTGTACTCTGTGCAGTGAATATTTGTGCTTGTGTATGGATATGAATTTGGCAAGCATCCTGGATAAATATAGATGAACGTTTTTCTTTTTAAAAGTTATTTTGGTTTCTCAGATTCACTCTAGAACTTCATTTTAATTCAGTTTTTGAGCCAGTTCTTTATTCAAATGCTGTCATTTTTTGACAGTTTTAGAAGTTTATTTTAGTACTATATAATTTCCTCTTCTTGCTGATGCCTCCTCCAAAGGATCTTATTTCCTGCCATGTGACTAGCATGGAACAGCTAAAAAGTGAGCAAAAAGGTAGCCTGAGGGAACAGGGTCCAAATGTGAGGTAAACTTTAACATTTTATTCAGCGAAGTTTTATGCTGCGCTTTCAGTCCAAGAAGGCTGCACCTTTGTTCAGAAGTTAATGTGGCAGCATCTGTGCTAGTAGCGCATTGATCGCTAATTGTACCAACAGTACTTACTGGCCTTGGAAAGAAGCTACACAGAGCTGTTTGTTTCAAATACTTGACTTGGCTCAGTCTACATGCGCTTACTCCATATCTACACTTGCACATCAACATGTTGGAAATGGCCATACGTTGCAACACCTCTACCTAGGCCGAGCTTGTTTTACATTCTGTTATTTGAAAGGGTCATTTTCGGTTGTCCATAACTACCTCAGTGTTTTTCTTCCTTATGAGATATCTGGTAAGTAGTCAAGGCGTCATTTTTTTTTTCTTGAAAACAATTTCAAGAAGAAAAATCATCCCTCATGCTCATTGTTTACCATGAAATTTTGGTGGTCAGCTGGCAAGGTGTGTGTCTGTGTCCACGTAACGTGTTGGCTGAGTGGATAAAGTTTCAGTGGAGTATGATTAAAATGGAATAGGATTTCAATTTCTTCCGTATAAACTGTGCCTTGAAAAGTAAAAATGGAAATGTAAATGTGCTCTGTGTGCAAGAGAGGTGTTTTAGCTTGAGTCGTTATCATTGCAAGGTAATTTTTTCTGGCATGGAGCAAGATACTGTACTGAATAAGGCAACTATTATTATCTGCTTTGATACATGTGGAACATGAGACAGAAAACCTTCTCTCACTCACCCGAAGGGCACACAGCGAGTCAGGAACTTGTCATAGGGACAACCTGATCTGATCATCACTTACACATTGTTGTCCCTCTCCCCTCCTCCCATGCCCAGTGTAACTCATCTTTGTCTAAACAGACATAGCAGTGAAAATTTTTCTGAAAATTTAGCTGCTCCATGAAATACAAATCTTCTTTCCTTCTGTTGTGTTCAAGTGATATGTGGTAGAGGTGTTTTCAGATTTCTCCTTCCTGTGGACCCTGTCTCAAAACAGAGGCATCCCCTCTTCAGCTTACAGGCACATGACACTGTGCCAGCCCGTAGATAGAAAATCTGTGTTGGTTCAAAAGGCACACACTTTTCTATATCAGTGGATATTCTGTCTCAGGTTTAAAATAATGAAGATTTTGTCCTTAACTCTCCTCTCCCTATCATTCTGGATCCTTTTTGTTACTCTCCAGAGCCCTACTCTGCCTGCTTTTTGGAGTTCTCCTGCCTGTGTTGGCAGCTCTCTCAAGCCATTCATGCGTGCTTCCCTGTCACTTGGCTCCCTGCTGCTCTAGACGGACATCCCGTTGCCACAGACCTCCAACCCTCTATGATTCTTTGATGTTGATGGTTTCTATTTCCTTTCCTTTTCCATTACAATAGCAATCCAAGTAGAGATAGGAAAGCAGACAGCAGATTTCTAGCTGTTACTGCAGGCTTAATGTTTTTTATTTGTCTTAAGGAACTTGACAGTCAATAAAACTGAGGAGCACAACAAACCCACATCACTAGTGAGTGCTCTGTGAACCACCATTTGGGGACCACCGCACTGAAATGAAAACATTTTTACATTATGTGGCTCAAACATACTCTGAATCTGCAAGACTGATCTTTTGCCATAGGCAAAACTGCTCTTTTAGTGTTGGAGGCTTTTAGTTGCAGATGTATATTGCTACCTTTTCCCTTTGAAACCAGCTGAATAAAGAGGTAGTGGGATGATGAAAACTCTCCTTTGCTGAGACTTGTGACAAATGAGTAATTCTCCCTGCTGTTCGAAATCCTGTAGAATAGGGACTTATAATGGAATTGTTGACCCATCTTTAGCTTTGGCATTTCAAATGAGATTTTGAATGTCAAATCACTGAACGCATTACTGAGAATAAACGCTTGGTGAGCCACTAGTGACAAGTGGTTAAAGACTGTAAAAGGGAGCAGCTGAAATGAAAAGAAATGAAATGCAAAGAAAGAGCATCACAGAGGTTGTTACTGGTGAAGTGAATAAAAATAATAGCAAGCATCTCAACTCATTTGTCTGGCAGCAGCACAATAATGTTGCCAATTCATTTTCAGAAAATAGAAATAGGTCTGCAGCGTAGTTGGTAGTCATAATTATTTTAATGGACAGAAGCTAACTACAGAATACATATTGCCAACAAGGTTTGACTGACTGCACCTTAAAAAGAAGGAAACAAAAGAGAAGGACTCCAATTGCAACACTTAGTGAAAATGATGGATTTTAATCCCTGCAGTGTTAGTAAGCCCAACCTTACGTTTGGTTTCATGGATGGAAAGATCTGGTCTCTTACATGCAAAGGGAATTCTTTTCAGTATCACAAAATACCTGAACTCAGCCAAATGTAGGACTCTATCTCTCATCAGAATCACTTTAGATTTCAGATAAGTAGCTGACAGACGGAATTATCTTGGCTGAAGTGTGCAAATAAGTTATTTAGAAATATCCGAACAGACATCTTAATGTTATGGATGTAACACTTCATTGCTGGACTGAACTAGTCCTGGAAGCAGGGTGGTTTCACCAAAGGTTCTGATGTTAGCCAAATGTATTGTTGTTTGTCTTTTGGCTGGTTGGAGTGTTTTTCGGTTTCTCAGGAAGTTATTTTATTTTGCCATTGTGCAGTTTCAGATCTTAAGCCGCAATGTTTGCCTAGAAGATGGTTGTCCTTTGTATGCTGTGTATCAAATGCATTCTTCAAAGTGTAAGGTTGCATGCAGACATTCAAACAAGTTTTGTGGATTCAGTTCCGACAGCGTTATTTTAGTTCTATTAGCTTCGTATTATCTGCCCCGTGACTGAATTGCAGATTTATTTATTGTCTTGATTTTTAACAGATTAACTGAAGCTTATACATGGTTTTATGGACAAAATTTTGTAGTGTACAGAAGTTGCTCACAGAGAGGCATTTTGGAAGCCTCATTTGTATCCATCCACTGCATTTTATGCACACACACACGTGCGTGTGAACACACACATGCATGCCAGCAAATAAAACTGCATGTTTCACTATACCAACCTGCATATTTTCCACAGGCTGTTTATGAAAATTAATTTGACATCATCCAGGCATTACATCATTGTAAAAGATTTGAGGGATGAAGTGAGTGGGAAAAATGTTTCTCTTTGCTTGTTCTGAATACAACAGAAGTGAGAATGAGCACATTGGTGTTGTATTCCTTGCAGGTGTGATGAAACTGTGATCCTTTCTCTGTCTTCTTATCTACATGCTTGAGAAATGAGAAACTGCACATCTTTTGCAACAGTTTCATGTGGTTTTTGGATGGATGCATTATACTACATACGCATACTGTCGGTCTGTTTTCCTTTGCCCTGATTGCTGTTAGAAGGGAGAGCAATGTCTGCAGTGGGATCATATGCTCACCAGCTGTGGGCCCTGAAATAGAGCAGTGATGGACTAGCATTATGGCTGTGGAGAGTTTGTGTCTGGCGGGGTTTTTGGGGGAACACACCCTGGCAGAGCTGTGCTGTGGAAGTTCAGAAACACTGCAGTGCTGTTTCCGTCCCTCATCTTGCAGCCTCATTTTTACGGCAGTCCAAAGTAGGCTTTGTGTCCCAGCTTTCTGCAACCCATACCGCTTCCAGTCTTCTCGTCAGGGGATTGCTGCTGAATGTTGGGGGAGAGGGAAGGTTCTTGTCCCTTGATCTGCTGGATGAGACAACTTCCTCGCTAAGCTCCTCTCATCTTCTTAAAAAAAAAAAAAAAAAGAAAAAAGAAGAAGAAGAGCAGCTTGCTAGCAGCTCACCAGAGCAGCCAACTCAGCTGCAGACAGGCGGGCAGGCAGGCAGCCAGGACTGAAGTAAAAGCAGGCTGAGTGTCACTGGCAAAAACCCAGACTGCCTTCCTTAGTTTGGACTGCTCTCCCCTAAAATACATGTGCATAGCCGTGGATCCTTAAGAGCCAAAATCTGTGAATATCCAGTGAGCACAACGTCCAACACAACATAACAATACACTTTCAGCAGTTTTGCTCAGGTTTCGTTCCCATCAGGAGAGCTAGGTTTTCTTTCCTTTGCAAGTGAAAACTGAGAGGAGCTCTTTGTGTCCCGAGATTTGAAGCCTGTGTAGGCTGTCCCTCCTCCAACAACAGCTGTTTCACATTTAATCCAGAAAATCTGTGCAATTGCTGTCTTTGGGTGCTGAGGAAACTTGCAAAATTACTTCAGTACAGAGTGAAGTATTTCTCAAATTGTCTATCCCCATGATTTTTATATCAATATCTACTTCAGAGAGGTAAAGCAAGATTTATTAAGTGTTTCAAGATTCTCTAATGGAGAAGTAAGTATGAACAAAAATTTGTTTCAACCTGGAAGTGTTTCTCAGTAGTGAAGGTACTGGGTGTTTTTAGCTTCACTGCAGATGGAAACGGATGAAAACAAAAGCAAAGACCAGTTTACAGGTGTGATAAATATGGCACCTATTATCCTGAAGAAAGGGAAGAAATAATGGGAAATTGACAGAGAACTGTAATAAAGAACTGTAATGCGATATTTCATGAGAGGGAAGGGTTTTGAGAAATCTTTGTAGACCTGCCAATCCTCCACCTCCTCCAAGGCTGTGCTTGGAATTTGTGGGAAGATTGGCAATTATTTGGGGCACTTAAAAATCAGTGTAGCTTTAGCTGAAGTAGAACCAAAACAAAAGAGAAAAATCAAGCCTGTCTTGATAGGCTTACCCTTTTTCACATGCATAATATATCTTAGGACATCATCCTGACTCTCACAGCGTGTAGCGGGTGGGGCTTTTTTCCTTCCTACAAAAATGTTGAACCGCAGTGCAATTTGATACAGAAAGTGATTTATTCCCCTGCTGATAACTGAGATAATCTAGCATTCCAGACAAGCACAGTTAATGGATGACTTATCCTTCACCCGGCAGCTGATTACAGGACCTCAGGAGACAGCAAGCAGCTTTGAGTGAGGTTATAGAAACAACACGACATTTTATTTTCCTTTTAGTGTTATTGCAACTATATTGAGCCCTGGAATGCTACGGCTGTATCGGTCTCGGCCCCCTGCAGCACTGGCGTGCATGTAGGTGGGTAGGCAGCATGATCCAGCCTTGCTCTAAGACATTAGTCCTCCCTTTCTGCGATCTCTGTGTAAACATTCGTGGGGCAGACTAATGGCAGTCATTTGCTTGATGCCTGTAAACAGGAGAAGTTCCACCAAGTCTAATGATGACTTTTTCTTAAAAATCCTGCTCACTTATGCATTGGTTTTAAACCCCTCCAGCCCTGAAGGAATGTCGATGTACTGACGAATGCACCTTAACATAAATTGAAAGATGGTACCTCCTGGCATCTGCCACTGGAATTTTGCTCAGGTCGATTCATACAAGCATCCGTTAAAATACCTGAGAAGATAACTGGTATTGCCGTCAGCAGTGGTAAATGAGGTCAGGGCCAATTCTTTATTCTTAGCAAATGCTTCTTCCCAAAGAAGACTCAGACTCAGGGGCTGAGCAGCAGAGGGGAGCTTGCCCTGCTAGGGTATTGCTAAGAAATCATGAGTAGCTTTTTTTAAAAAACAAACATAAAAAAAGACTTCTTTCAGAAGACACCATTCCAGAGAAACTAATTTACTTACATGTCACTAAATATCTGGCTTTGCAAAGAAGTTGTTACGTGATTCAATTTCCTCATGCAGCATAGAGAATTAATTTATTTTCTGAGTTTGTCACACCCCTCTGCATCTTCTGAGCATTGCAATGTCCAGTCCACGCTATGTGTGTCCTTTCTATGAACTTTTAAGTATGACTCAGATGTGTTAATAAAGTACTGGGAGAGTGCTTGATATAAAAATACAGATTTTGCTCCAAATGTGCTTTTAATACAGTTATTTCTCTTTCCAGTACTACCAGCTCAACTGCAAGCAGTTGTGATACGGAATTTACGAAGGAGGATGAGCAGCGGCTGAAGGATTACATCCAGCAGTTGAAAAATGACAGGGCAGCAGTGAAACTGACAATGCTGGAGCTGGAAAGCATCCACATTGATCCCCTTAGTTACGACGTTAAACCTCGTGGAGACAGCCAGAGGCTAGACCTGGAAAATGCAGTCTTGATGCAGGAACTTATGGCAATGAAGGTATTTTATTTATATCCAACAGGTTAACTGCACTGCTGACAGTGCCCCTGCACTACAAAACATTCTCAGTCACACATTTGGGAGGCTTTGATAATGATCACTGGGTAATAAAGGGTACCTTCGTTGAAACAAATAATCAGGGCTGAAAATGCGGTAGTCAGAAAGTGACAGAAGGCAGTGCATTAACAGTGACGAGCTATGTGTGTTTTGAATTAGGCAACGACTTCATCCATGGCTCTAAACTTGGAATGCTCTCCTTGACAAACCAGATGCTCTCTCTAAGAGATACGGCAGCTGAGTTGCTTGAGGGTGACCAAAAGCATGATACAGCACTTCCCAAGAGACTGTTCAGTACTTTACTTACAAGCTTGCAAATGTGCATCTTGAATATTTGTGAACTGAAGCAGAACAAATTCACCTCCTTTAATATTACCATGGGAGGAAGAATGGTCTGTCAGAAGCTATCGTCCCTAATGCTCTCCAGCAGTCGGTCACAAGTCCAGAGCTGTTCTAGGCACTGTGTTGCAATCTGTAGCTCAGTTCAGAACCCGAGCAAAGAGTGTGGTGTGTTGTGACTGGCAGTTCTAAAGACGTGATCTAGAAAAACTGAGCTTTATTGACCAGGAATAGAGCTTATATCATTTTAAATCTGTCTTCTGTGTTGACTTTGAGGGAGGTGAACTAAAGCATCAGAACGCATTAAAGGCAATACAAGTGCATCTCTGCATTTAGAAATTGTCTGGTTTTGGTTCAGCTTAGATAAGTTTAATTTCCGCATGTTAGCAAGTCCTATTTCAGTCAACTAACGGCAGGTATGTCAGGTGATGGTATCATGTGGGACAGCAAATCCTAACAGTTCTGCAAGCTTCTAAAGCTGTAGATTTTTGTTCGCATGTTCTATTCCTGGTTAACTGGTAGCTTAGTAATGATAATTATGTTCTTAGCAGTGCTGCCTTTCCATGATAACAAATACTGTTTGCAATAATGCATTCATTAGTTGCAGTTCAGAAAAAAGATTGCCTGCTACCGTTAGAAGATTTCAAATTACTTGAGTTATTTGAATATATTGTGGCCAACAGCAATGTATTCCCCATAATTAAAGATGCAAGATGTACTGGAAGCCATTTGTAGATAATTAGATGTATATTTCAGATATCACGCTTCCTTCTCCTCTTTTGCCTCCAGATTGTCCCTAAAATGTCTTGTACACAATTCTTACCTCTATTTTTAAGTTGGTTGGTACTGGCAAACTGCAGAGCTATCTCTTGTGATTAGTGCCCTTGCATTCCCTAACCTGGAAGGAATACCAACAGTTACATGTCTTAATTTCTGTCAGTTTTGAGTGCTGGTAGTCCTTTTGTTCACTGATCTATCATCTGACTTGTTTTTGACATATGTTGTCCACTCATAACTTATGGCTGGACCTAGCACACTGGGTTTTCACTGCAGGAATTGTCCCTAGAAGAAGAAGAAATCTGTCTTCTTGGTTGGTTTGTGTGCAGTGCATATTGGAACAGACACACATTTTACACTGGTGGCTGAAGTCACCTTCAGTCCTTTCTGGTGCAGGGAAACTGACAGTACTGTTCTTCTTTATAATTTGTTGTGCTTTGCTGGAATTCACAACTGCAGGAAATCCCTAGGTTTCTGAAAGGGATATGGTGAAAACTCAAGTTTGTCAAAGCTTGGCATGAACTTCTTGGTAAGTGTTCTTCTGCTACAGAAATAGAACCCCCCTGCCTTTCTTCTATTCACAAAGCATTACAAAAGGGACAGCTACACTCTGCGTGCTTTGGTCCCAAGGGAATGTACTACCTTGTTAGCATCTGTGGTTGTTGCTCAGGTCTGCATTACACCTTGCTCAAATGTTCAGCAAGCCGTAACATAGCTGCACCTAAGGGCAGGACTCATGGATGTCTTGGCTTTCTGAGTGCATTTTTTGTATCTATTATTTGGAACTTGTGCCTCATACAGAATAGCGTATGCATTTGCTGTCTTCTGAGAATTTAAATTTCCTTACAGTTTTTTATTTAACTCGAAGCATATGGACTCATCTGTGCTGCAAACAACTTCATCATGTAGCAGCTCTTAATTTGCTCCCTCTTTTCCACATGCTTAGCAAGGATGATACAGCTTGATTGAGCTACTCAAGGATTTCCTGCATTGCTGGGTCTTACAGCCTGCTGCGTCTTCCTGAAACTTGTGTCTGTGTTGGAATCTCTGCTGCGTCTTTTGGCACCTTTCATTTATGACTCCAAGTAAAAACTGATCACCACGTCAGTCATATTGCTCCTTGCGTCCTGTGTTATGCTGATAATGTTCTAAAAATGCCTTTACACCATTAGTTCTTCATTATTGATGAAAATGATCCGTAAAAAGATGGTTTGGGGATAGTTCCTCTGTTGCCCTGTTTATTTTTTTTACTGACCCAGAGTGTAAGACACAGTGGTCCACTAGTACTTCTGTGAAATCCAGTTCTTTGCTTCAAGCAATAATTAACCAGGTTTCCAAGTATATTCTTGGCTGCAGTTTGTCATCATTCAGTGGTCTTGCTTTGAGGTCAGTTGTTGTCATGCCCCAGTTAGCAAGGAGATTACTTCTGATGGGTGTAAATAATTCTTGGTTTACAGCCTTTCTGCATTTCAAAGGACTTAATCTAGATAAGAAGTCTCAGCTTTCTACACTGATAATTTTTCCTCTTTTGTGTACAGATGGTGATAATATTGCTCATAATGTGCTTTGAGACTACACTCTCTTTGTGGAAAACGTTAAGAATCCTGTTGTCCACCTTCGTTACAGCATTTCGTGCTCTTATAGATGTATATAGTAAAATGCGTTTAACTACAGCATGACATTTATCTGCTCTGAGATTGGTTTTACTTCTGAAGGCTCGTATATTCCACCTTGTGTGCTGTGATCCTCCTGGAGTCCCTTTTCATGGCTTTTAAAACTTTTTGCCATGTGAGAGTCCTTGCTATTTTATTCTTCTGGTGTGACCACATCCAACACAAATTTTAATTTGAGGATGCTGCGGTGTTTCTGATTATATTGAATGAGGACTGTTTAATTTTCATTCAGGTTTTCACCCAAGTTAAGAATTACAGTGTTACTGCAATTACAAAATATTCCTCAATATTCAGCCAATTAGTCCAACTGCTAGATTTGGTGCTTGAAGCTTGTGAATTTGCATGGGTTGTATAAATCTTCTGCAACCAACTGGAAGAGTGAACAGTTGCTACCTTCTCCTTCAGGGTTTCATTTTGTAAATGCAGCTTGTGCTTTAGGCCCACGCTCTGAAGAAGCAAATATGTTGAACTGCTGAATGTTTCAGCAGCATCCCATAATTAGGAAAAAAGAGGATAGCAAATATACAAAGGTTATGTTGTCATTGAAGTGAGATTTAGACGCTACCTTTAGAAAACAAATTTTCATGGAAAAAATGACTTCGTATGTGAAGACTAATTAACTCTGAGTAAACCTGAGCTACTTAACTTTTCCTGCATGAAACATTACTGTTGCCACCCTGCCTCACAGATTGTACGTGTCCATACCAGAATCCTCAACTGTAGTTTTAACTTCAACCTTTCAACTCCTTCCTGTTCTTTTTTTGAGAGCCAATAAGACACTGGCTGACAGTTCTTCCACTTTTCCCCTGCTTTGTCTTTGCTTCTCTACTTCAAAGCCACATTGTCTTTACACAAGAAAACTAACGCATGGGGAGTGCTTTTGGGATCCGTGATACGTCTTCTGGGACAGGATGCAAACTTGTGAATTCATATATGATGATCTAAGCTTACTGTCTTCATAGACAAAGGACTTAACCATTGATCCTCAAATTTATTTTGAGCTAGGATATGTAGTGCAAACAAACATCTAGTCTTTAAGTCAAAACTTTTCAATGATGGGAGAAATCCGGTTCCATAGGATTCATTGTTGCTGTGATTAAATTCACCTTTTTCTTTTGGGAAATAAATGTCTCTTATTTCTAGGCTGAATTTGCCTAGGTTCAGCTTCCAGCCTGGGAAGATCTTGTCATGACCCTCCCACACAGATAGCCCTCTTTCAAGAGTATCTTCTGTTCACATAAGTGACAAAATATTCTGCTCAAATTACTTCTCAGCCTTCACTAAGCAGGCTAAGTAGATTAATGGCTTTAGCACTAGAGGCTTAAGAAGCTAAATGCATACGCTTTAGTATACCAGACAATCCAGTTCAACTCCTATAACTAAATTTCCCCATCATTATTTATCAGTATTATTTACATTTTTACTGTTGACAAAGGAAATTAATGGTAAGTTTGCTTAACAAATAAATTTCCGTAAACCGCATTGAATGAAGCTGATTGTGCTTCTAACCTTCAGTTCACAAACATGTAGATAAATAAATGAATTATTTTAAAGCTCACAGAAACCTTTCTAAGCCTGAGGGGTTTTAGGATATGGATTTTATTTTTGCGTGGTTGGTGATTCTGAATAAGCCAATGATTACCTGTGATTACTATATGCTGCTTGTAACTGTGCTACATCTGCGTGCACTGCTTACACTTGATCCAAACAGCAAATTCTTGGTAGGAATGTAGATTCTTTTCTACAGAAGCAATTAGTCTAAATGTGTGCCAAGATTTCTATTTGTATAAACTTTGTTAATAATGGATATAATACAAACAGCACTGTTTTTTAAGGGTAAGGTAAGATACCTCTGATATTTTTGTGACTAGATCATGGTTTTTTGTTTAAAAGAAAAATTTAAAATAGTGATTTGTTCCTAGGCTAGCGAAACAACAAGAAACTTCTATCTTTCAGAGATGTTTACACAGTGAACAAGTCTAGAACTGGACTGTAATACAGACAATGGCTGCATGAACTCAGTATTCACCATGAGGTGACCTAGGGCATGGCAAGCTCAACAGTAAGAACATGATTCTGGGCTGGCTTTTTTTTTTTTTTCGTTTGATAGTCTTTTTTTATTTGATGGTGTTTTTTGACACGTAATGTAAATTACGTTTTAGGACTATCTCTTTAAATGTTTTGTAGATGTTGTGTTTTCCTTGGTTCAGAAAATAACTAGACATTTCATGGAAGAAACTTTCTGAAGTGTTGTGAAACACAAAGAACCTTCTGGTTCAGGACACCCAGCAGCTGGTTTTCATGGGAGGCTGGGAACAAATGCTGAAAGAAGGGTCACTGCACTTATGCCTTCTTCACATGCTTCTGCCCAGCCACTGTCAGAGCAGATCTTAAAGCAGAGATCTGTCCCCAGATAGCAGTTGTGTTACAGTATTTGACAGCCCTGTCATAAATGTCAGAGTGGCAGAAGAATTACACACAAGAACTAGCTTTCAGAATTGAGCTTCTTTCTAAGTACCAGTGTCTACCTTCTGTGGATCATATTTATGCAATACAAGTGAGTGCAATTTTGTCAACCTCCCATTGTGTGTAGCTGGGATTCTGACCATCTGGAGGAGCGAAATTAAAAATCGACTTCCATTGGTGCCATACCACTTGCCCTTTTTGACTAACTCGTTCTACCACAGAGGCTGGTATTAGGAGGCAGGCGTATGGGATCGCTGTTTTCTGTCCTAGCCCTTCAAACCTATTCCACTGTAATGAGTAAATCCAGCTCTAAATCTTATGCATCAATAAGAAACAAATCTGGCATTTAGGGAGCTGTTTGACAAGACAGTCAGATACTCCTGGTTTTAGGGCGATGGTCTCTCAAGGGCAAGGTAGAACCAAAGAAATTTCAGCACATGTGGCAACCCTCTCAGATCCCTGATACTCTAGTTTCAGCACCACATTAGCTGCTCTGTTGCCTGCGAGCTTATTTCTGAGTCTGACTAGGGATGGCATAGCTTGTCATACTCACTTAGTCTCAACAATTACTGGTCTTTTGACAAATACACTATGTGATTATAAAAAGCCTTCTGGATGCTGATAGTGTTCTCCATGGAAAGAACACTCCAGTAACAGGAGTGGATGAAAAACTTGTTTAACCTCATCTTCCTTTAGGTATGTAGTCCCATGAAGCAGCATGCTGATAATGTTTCTTCAACAGGAGGAGATGGCAGAGCTCAAGGCACAGCTTTACCTGCTGGAGAAGGAGAAGAAGGCATTGGAATTGAAACTGAGCACTCGAGAGGCCCAGGAGCAGGCCTACCTCGTCCATATTGAGCACTTGAAGTCTGAAGTGGAAGAGCAAAAAGAGCAGAGGATGAGGTCTCTCAGCTCAACCAGCAGCGGAAGCAAAGACAAACTGGGCAAGGTCAGGAGTCAAACAAATTTCCAAAATCAGCATAAACGCTATTTATTGTACCCCTCCCCTTCCTATAGCAGTCTTCAGCATGTTAATCATTGCTCTCTTTTGTTTATATGTACGTCTTTTCTCTCTGCTTCAGTTGTTAGGCGGTTCTTTCCATGCTGCGACTTATGAGGACTTTGCAGAATTGCTGTTAAGCCTGGGCTAAAATAAGGTTGTCGTTTTGGGGAGGAGTACAACAAAGCCATTCTTGCCAAACATACTGTGGCTGAACGCGTTGTGTCTTGCCTGTTGCCACTCACTGGTAACAGTGGAAGAGAGTTTAATCAAAATGCCATCCTCCCCCTGCTCCAAACACAAAATATGAAAAAATAGAGATCATTTTTGTGAAGCAGTTACAGCATTGTAATGGCAGTCTCTTTTTCCAAGTCAGACAGTTTGTAATGATTTAAGAATGAAGACTGTTCCTTCCTCAGTGTAATGCTAAGTAAACCCATTTCTGCATTGACATTAATAATTTGCATGAAGAAACAGTGAACCCTAGAAAGTCTTAAATCCCGTTATTGTAGTGCTGTGTCCCCAGACAAAATCAGTAATATGTTTAAAAACAAAATCCAGAGCTAGTGTGTAACTGTGTCTTTCTTACCTGTTTTCTGGCAAAGCATCTTCCGAATTGTTTGATCCAGTGCTTCTTTGTTTCAGGTATGGTGTCAAAAGTAATATAAGGCACCAGCAGTTATGCACACTGTAGCAGAATTCTGCAAATGAGTGAGCTGTGGTGGTTTAGGAAACATTTAGAAGGATTTGTGAAGTGTTAATCCTTCAGTGCACTTCTTGGTGTGTTGAGACACTGCCATGTTGTTAGGGCATTGTGATGTTTATTTCACCTCCATTTTAAAAGTAGCTGTGAACTAAGAGGTTTCCAAAGTTTTCCCATTAAGACGGTAAGTAACTTCAAATTCGATGGCCTTTCCTCGTTTCTCAGGAATGCAGTGATGGCACCGCAACACCGTTAACACTGGCTGAGCTGAGACCCTACAACGAGAGTGAACTGACTGCTGAACTGACCAACGCGCTCAGGCGGTAAGCATCTTCCCTCCACAGAGATGTGACTTGTTCTGCAGGTCCTGGGAGAGGTTTGGTTGTGAGCCCTCGCTCTTACCCTCAAGTGATTTTAAGAGTGAGCACAGATTTTTCCTGTGAGAAAGAAAAGGATCGAAGTTCTAACCTTCCCTGCTCCTTTGCTGTTGTTCTTCAGCTGATGAAAGTCCTCACATGGTGCTCAGCTCCATTCTCCTTGAGGTTCTCTATAATTCAGATTAACTGTCTCCCTAAGAAACCCTCAAAATATCAGGAATGTCCATATTCAGGCAAGAATATGAGGCACAGAACAGTGATGTGACTTGCTTGAGGGCATGCAGAAAACCTTTAGTGAAGACAGGATTTGAAGTGTGATCTTTGGTTAAGAAGCTTGGTCGCAGATTAGAACTTGGGTTGGAGCTACAGGAGTGGGAACTGCAGTGATTTTGATGACTCAGGTGCTGCGTTTGCCTCCTGAGTACGTAAGTAAAGCCACAGTTCAATTACGAGTGACATTGTTGTGTGAAGTATTAGCTTTCAAACGAGAGAGAAAATTGATGTCTTGACAAACTCCTTTTATCAGCAGCCAGGTTTTAAGCCAAAGCTTTCAGTACAGTTATACATTAACTAGGTATTTGTTTGTGCAGCAATTTTTTGCTGCACCAGCAATGTGGTAAACTTCATGACAAAGATATTCGCTGTTTCAATAGATGTTTCAGTACTTGTTCTACCTTTTCTAAGACACGACTGTGTAATATCTAATCTGCTTATTGTATTTAGAACCCGTCCAAAATGCTACTAAGAATTTTGGCTGGGAAGAGTGTATTTTGCTTTTCTGGTGTTTGCACCCACTTTAATGGTGGAACATCCTCTCAGGCAGCTGTGGTGTTTCATTCCTGAAGTGCTTTTTTCATAGGTGCAACTTGTAGTGTACCTAGGGACACTTAAGCCTGAAAGGCATTATGTAAAAATGTAAGATCGTTACCACTGCAGAATCAATACATCTCATACCATTTGCTTAACCGTCTGGCAGTTGCTGAGTATTTAGTTTGCTTGATGCAGGAAAAAAAAATCTGTGGTTAAAATAATCAAAACTGTCATTTGTGTGTGGGCAGATAAAACCCATCAACAAAGTCATTTGCAAAAACATTGCATAGAGCCATTGGCCTTCCTCATACCCCCACGCTCCAGCCCCGGTGTGAGCAGCTCCACTGGCATTTTCTGCCTTCACTCAGGCTCCGGCTGCTTCCTGTTCTTGTTATTTGCTCCCGGGTTTCGAGAAGATGCCAGTGACCTTAGTTAGCGGACGCTGGCATATAGTCATGAAATGTGGTTTGCTAACAACACAGAGAAAAAAACTTTGCTTTATCTACTAGGCCTTAAGTTGATTAGCATGGATTTCCAGCCAGGGGCCTAGTAAGTACAGTTTGTCAGGCAGGAATGGGGAAGAAAAATAATCGGATTAAACTGTACATAAATTTTGGAGTGAAGACTCTCTGTGTAATGGAAATATGACTGTACTAAATGTGATTGCTGCTGCCAGTGGGGCTCAAGCACAGTTCCCGCAGGCTGTGTGGACAGGGTGTTTTTGTCCCTAATCAGTGTGCCAGCCAAATCAGGCTGAATGCTCGGTTCTCCTTATCCTCAAGTCTTCTCTCTGAAAGTCAGTAGGATGTCTGTCTAGCACACGGAGGGAGCTTGCTGCAACCTGTTTAGCCACAGCTATGCTAAAAAATACCAGCAGTTCCTAACTGCCATCCTGGACAAAACGGAGCCTCAGATATCACAGTGAAATTTACACCATCGTAGAGCCACAAAGGAGTTTCAAAAATAATCAAAATGCATTTTCCTCTCTGCAAGTGCTACGGCAGTGCGGAATGCTCCGAAGTGAATGTAATGTCTTTAGGGACAAAGTGGATTTAACTCTTGGCACTTCGCATGTGCCAGTCCCTCAATGCTCTTCCCGCTGCTCTGGGAAAACAAGTGCTGGCGCTGTGTGTGAATCTGGAGAAATCCTGGTGGCTCCCCATAGCACCCTCCTCGCCCACCAGGGAAGTATGACCAACATTCGAAATAAAAAGCACTTTGCCTGGTGTCTGTGCTTGCTGCGGGGCAGGAGGGAGATGTGAAAGAAGTGAGTATTACACACTGCATCTGTGGTCTAGAGACAATATTCAAATGCCGATGTTCAGGAGTGTTTCAGTGCTGGCTGCAATTAGTGCACACATCCAGCAATTGGACTTATCTGTTGTTACACCAGGCAGTAGACACACTGGTGCAGGGGACAGCAGCTCCAAGGGTAGGGGCAAAAATCCGTTTGCTGTTCAGCCTGTCTGTTTGTCAGCGAATGTGATACCAGTCAGCAGCCCTGCTTGCTGCCTCCTCCCTATCCTGCCTTGGCAGAGACAAGAGCCTCAACAGCTCCCCCCTCTGCTGCTTTCCCATTCTGTCCTCCTCGTGCTGTGGAACTGTCAGGTTCTTCTCAGCTGAATAGGGTGAAACCCACATAAAACAGCAGGAGACATCTGCGGTTTGGATTTTGGTGTGGTTTGGCAGCATTTATTTGTTCACAGTCTGCAAATGGCTCTGCAGCGGAACGGTCTCATCCACAGAGGCAGCCTATCTTCTCTCTGCAGATGTGGATTTTCTCGTAAATCTGGAATCCAGCAGCATGTTGTGAAACTCCCCGAGCTGTCATTGGTAGTGCCCATCAGCAGAAATTCAAGGCAGGAGCCTTCATTTATTGTTTCATAACCTATTTGTTCTAGCAGGACTCAGAGGTTTCCCATAGCAGTGTTTAGCATTAAAACCCATCTTACAGGCTTTCCACAGAAATTGCTTTCCTTTCCATGACCACTACGCTAACTAGGAGAAATGTAAATTATCTGAAATTTCCATGTTGTAAAAGTTACATCTAGGTTATCAAATTTCTGGTATTGCAGGCTAAGGCTACTAATTTAGAGACACATCCTGTTCCAGCCAAACATAAACGCTTTATGGCAGAGTCTTTAGGAATTTTGTTTTCCCCTCTCTCCTTTCTTGATGGAGTGATGGAATGTTTCAATGGACATGAAGCCTCGATTTTTTTCTTGAGTTTGACACATCCATAATAAGCTTGTTGGAAGGAAATACTTTATTCTTGGGAGGGCAAAAATGTATTCCCAGCAGCCTCGTGGCCTGGCACTGACACCTCGATGATCGTGCCAGAGGCCACTTTTATGAGAGAGGATCTGATTGAAATACCTCAAAATGAGGCACATTACACAGTCTCTGAAGGGCACCTTAAAATGACATCTTCCTTGTTAGTGTGTTCTGCTCTGCTGCAGCAGGGGAAGGGAGCGCTGTGGATGAGTGGTATGAGTTTATAACTTGGTAGGCACATACAAGGTTATAAAGGCATTAGACATGGCAGGAAGGAGGCAGAAAGAAGAATTCCAGACAGGAAATGCTCTTGCTTTAGCAGGGTGATAATAATGGTGATACAACTAATCTTTTCTTTTTTTCTGCCAAGTTCTTTCATCCTGTGAAAAATGGCCAAGCTGGCAAGACTGAACCTTCTCCCTCTCCCCAGGCCTTAATAGAAATGCTTTGATTGTTGAGGTCCTCCAGCAGTCTCTGCTTGTATCTCCAGTTGCTGATATAGCTTTTCCATCTGCATAGGGCTGTAATTTGTGCATGTATTTAGACAATCCTTTATAAGCAGTAAAATATTTGGGCAGGAAGGATCTGACAATACTAGGTAAGGACCATGGCAGACAAAACACTTTGTCACTAGACTGACTGTTCAGACCTCAGCTGGGTCATCAGTTGGCACAAAATTGTGATCTCCGATGGCTGTGCAGGGTTGCAGGAATTGTGTCAGTCTAGATGTGTTTCAGTATCTCGCTCACAAAAGGGTGACTTTGCATCTGGAAACACAGCAAAGAAGCTATATATTTACCATGTTTGATGACTTTTGAACTGAGAGATAACTGAGTAAGTGATGCTACTAATTGGGGAGTGCCATGGAAAGGGAGAAGAGTGGTAATCAGTAGGACTGGCAAACAGTTCTTTGTCTCTTAAGAAAAACTACATTTCGTACAGAGCTGTGGTCCTGGAAACTGCAGGTATTTCTAGTAGGACATAGAAAATTCATCCTGTTGCAATAGGTTCCATGTGTCTGTTGAGACACAGGAACGTTCTTCGCAGTCTTAGATCCCTATGCCTGTCCAAAGACCACAACCCTGTGTTGTGCCAAACTTCTGATTTTGAGAGAGCAACCGTTTCAACAGAAAGCTGAGCCAAGGCATGGCAGTGACTATTTCCTGACACAGTGTCAGCCAGAGATTAATCAAGCCACCTTCCTTTATTTGAAACTTCAGCTGACTTCACGTGATGACATCTTAGCTTGACGTGTTTTCAAGGGCCACCCTTATTTTCATGATAGAAGGATCCAGGAGTAGGTGGAAGCATCTCTGAAATTGAGGCCTGTCTTGACCAGCAGTAAGGCTAAGTCTTGGAAATGAACAGAGGAATGCCTAAAACACATATTGTAATGATTCAGATTTAAAATTGCCCTTAAGAATTGAATCAGCAAAATCCTCTTTCTGTTTGGCCACAGTACAGGATGAACATACAGTGGATAAAAGTGGGGGGAGGGAGGTGGGGGTTGGTGTTCAGGAGCTACAGCTGAGTTTTTGCAGCACGTCCTCGGCTGCTTTTTGTCAGTTACATTTGCTTATTTCTGTTGTCTCATTATCCAGTAAATAGGGAGATACACAGCTCTGAGACATTTGAAAGCCAGAGACTGGCATGGATTACAGACATTGCAAGTTTCTGGGATCTCTGTGTCTTTTTTGCTGACTGTGCAGTCTCCTGCTGTGGTTTCCCTTGGGTGCCTGAGGGGTTCAGGAGGCATGGCGTGTCTCTGGAAATCCCCCCCCGGAGAGCCCCACTGAGAGAAACCTTTTCAGAAGAAGAGAAATGACTCACGGTGGTACAAGGGACAGATTCCTCAGAAGTGC